TAGTAGTAATGCCAGGAGCTACTACTAGCTTCTTGTTACTAGTAGAAATGCACGTTACTGATAGCGATGCACTTAGCTGCTAGTAGCAAGAAGCTACTAGTGCATGGGGCACAAAAGTCACATGAAAGTCACTGAGGTGCATTCCTATGTCATAGGAAAACAAACCTGCACGTGTATGAACAGCGAACGACGGTCGTTCCACGTAAAGTGGGGCACAGATTGCAGGCCAAGTTTCTTCACTCCTCAGAACGGTGGTGAAGGAATTTGGTGGATTAGTTACATTAGTTGTTCTATCTTGTCAACTTTTGTCAACATGCGCGCAGGTTCCTGTAAAACAGCTACAAGTTCACACTCGCAACCAAAGCAACCCCAAATCACAGCAGTGACCAATTGGGTCTTCACAGCAACATGGAAATAAAATCTACCGGTCCCGGCCTACCCAACGTCTAGGTGGGGCGGCGCCTGGGATACGGAAGGTTCCAATTGCTTGTGGCAGTTGCTTGCAGCGTGCCACCCTTCCACACCTCTTTCAGCGGGTCGTCGCTTATAGGCAGCTTCCACGCCTCCATACCTTTTTTGATGGGCTTCCGTACTTCTAATTTCTAATCCATTTCGATACTGCCGTTTGGGCACGCAGTCTGGCTGGCTTCCACAGGCACCCTTTCCCTCGGGCTCAGGCACGCGTTTTCTCTGGCTAGTTTCCGCACCTCTTTCAATGGGCATCAAAACTGCCGCTTGATCCACGATCTTTTGCGCGCGCAGACCTAGATGGGCTAAGGCCATTGCGGGACGTTTTCTCTGGCTGGTTTCGATACTGCCGTTTGACACCCTTTCCACCAGCTTTTGCACGCAAAACTAGATGGGCGAAGGCGGCGACGCGATTTTTTATAGCTAGCATATGCTGGCATCCACACCTCCTTCAGTGGGTTTTGGAAACTGCCTTCCGCGAGTTTTTGCGCGCCATAGATGGGCTAAGGCCGCGGCGACGCGCTGTCTTTGGGGTGGATTCCAATAGGGGTCGGCGGCACCAGGGCGTTCTATATG